CGTCACTCTAATTTGATCAGAAGTTGTTTGGGCTTCTTTAAAAAATAATCAGACAGAGGTAGATTTGGAAAACTCAAAAAAAAAAAAGGCAGAGGGTAACTAAGTCCACAAGTGTTTTGTGTTAAAAATTGATGTAACTTTTCTTTGGTCCACAGATGCTTATTTCAGAAGCCATTGATCATTGTAATCAATTAAAGTTGGGATGGGCTAAAACAGACCCTCCAATACTTAGGCTAGCAGAGGAGCCACCACAATACATTGGAGCTGGCCTTACTTGTGGAGAGTGATAGACGTCTTTAATAGTGAAAAGTCACCCACGATAGGACCTTCCAGGTTCTGTCTCCTATTTACTTCTTACTTACCTCAGGAATGCTCTTGTACATATTTGTATTTACATCAAGTTAGGCAGATTGTGGCAGATGAATAACTGTAACCGATCCTATGACTGTAGCACTTATGTGTAAACTATTCTGACACAAAGTCTTATATTGGTGTGTTCTCTTGCATGCTTCTGATTTGGGACCCTCTAGATTTGCTGTCTGCATTTGTTTAGGTATCCAGATTTGTCCTGAGTGAAAAGCCATTTCACCTTTAAAAAACAAACAAACAAACAAACAAACATATTTTGTCCCAGCCCTGAGCACCTGCCGTGTAACACCGACCATAGTTGCTGATAGGAGGTCAGGGAAAGGAGCTTCACACAACTTATAACGTATATCCTGATAATCAAGGCTTGGAAAGGGAAGTTTTGAAGAAGAGAGAAAGTTGTTCTAATTGTGCTGAAACTATAAGATAATTTAGAGGACACAGATCTAGGCAGGTATTAATTCTTGATCACTATTACTTATCTCTGCCCTTCTCCAGGAATGTGTATATTTGCTTGGGAGAATTTAAACTTGCTGAGCTAAATGTTTTATTTGCTGGTCAATCACCTGGTGGTGACCTCTACAAGTGCATGTAGTGTTGGGAGAATTATAGATTACCTATTTTTCTCTCTTCCCTCCATCCTCTTCCCCCGTCCCCAGCTTCCAGCTGACCACGCGCACACACACACACAAGCACACAGGCGCCAGCTTTACGCTTAGGAGCTCCCACAAGCAGGCACACAACTGAGGAGGAAGGGGTATTTTCCCTGCTCTGGTTTCATGGGGTGGGGCTTTGCCTCACAGAGGCAGGAGAGAAGAATTGGGCAGGTTTTCTACTGAACTCATTGGGACTACTGCACTAGTTTTTTCATGCTGGCATTTGATACTAGAGAGATCAGATTCTTGGGTGATGATTTAGTATTTGTGCATTGTGAAAGTTTAGGAGCATTGCTCTATAGAAAATGTCAGTCTGTCAACTTTATTAGTGTGCTAAAAGGGGACATTATTGTACTGTCCTGTCTAAACTGTTCTTCAGTATGGACTCCTTAGGCACATAGTATTTAGTTCTTGAAGGAACACAGCATGTAAGGAATGAAGCCTCTGAAATAGTAATCATGGATGTAGATGTGGCAGATCTTACTGTGTCTACACATTTGGAATTGTTAGTTGGTTTAAAGAAATGATAGAGATTTTGAACTACTGACAATCTTAAAAGTGAATTTAAAAACTTTTCATACTTTTTATGGTGTAAATTTCCTTTGCTTGGTGTCAGTGATTCAGATGACTCTTGATCTTGAGGTATTGGCTTTTCAAAGGTTTCTAATATTTTATATCTCTTCTGAATGAAAATTGTCCTTTTACATTTTTGACATTTATATCAAAAGAGAAGTTGAGGAAGTCTCCAGAACACCAGTAACTTTTAAATTTATAGACTTCAGAAGTGTTCGAGTCTGTGTTCAATAACCGCTCTTGCACGTGCAGGATCTTCTCCCAGCAAACCCAAGGGACCACAGCCTTTTTTTATACGGGACAGGCCACCTCTAGAGGACTACCCAAAATTTATTAAAGGAGATGCTACTGTGTCGAAAGTATGCTTAAATAAGTATTAATAATGTCTTTATAATTTGTTTCCTTTAGATAAATTCTGGAATTTGTATATTCTATACAGGAGGAGGTGGGAAAATAGGAAAGTGGAGTTTTTTTGTTTTTTGTTTGGAACTGGGAGTGGGTGCCTCTTCGGAGACCTAATGGTAAGAGTAGGGTCCATCATCACAAGAAATGAAAACCATAGTGATTTTTTTTCTGTGTAGAGTTTGTTTTATGGCAATAATTAATGTTAGGTTTCTATTTCAGTATATAAGTATATGAATTATAATATGAATTGCACTCCCAGAACTAGATTTCTGCTTCAGTAGGATTGTTTGCTGTGAAGATTACTTCTCAAAAGACAGATGTTCACACTAGCTTAATTTTGGTTTAAATATGTTTGTAAATGATGTAATATATTTCTTTTGACTAAACATGGGAAAAATAATGTGTGTTATACATTGAAAAGTTTTTAAAGGCTTTGATTGGAGGTCATTTTTGCAGAGAGTGTATTTTATATGCTTCCAGTATTTGGAAAAGAATTAGTCAAAAGGAATTCACATAGTTTAAGTATTGAAAAATTAATATTCAAATAATGTACTTGTCTGATTTCTTAATAAGCTGGGGGAAGTGGGTGGGGTGGGTATCGTAATGTACAAATGAGTAGTGAATTCTACATTCATTTTTCAACTCTTTAACATTAAACTGTTAAATCTTAACACATTGTTACTTTAATATATGTATAAAGAAGTATTACTGTTTGTAAAGCTGCTGTTTGCTTTAAAAAAACAACAAACCTGTCATTTAAATATTTCCTGTACGTTGTGCCAACAGGTTAAAACATTAACTTATTCCATTTAAAACCATAATCATTTTTTGCTTTTAAAATTTTTCTGTGATATAATTTATTTAAAGACATCTTCCTCCTCCTTTGCCCCTTCCACTCTTTATACACATCACAGGATCAGCCAAACTGTTTACCTAATCTGGAATCTGAATCTTAATGATAAAAATTTAAACTTTGTTGGCACAACACACCTTAAAGTATTTGTGTTATTTTGTAATTTAATTTCTAAATATACCACGGGTTTATAATTTAATGTCTTAATTGTAATGCTCTAATAAAAAAATAGCAAAATTAGTGAATTATAACATGAAAAGATTTTCATCTTGTTCTTTTGTTGTTTGAAGGATAATTGTTATATCACATTTTAGGGGTAATAACAGCTTTTTTTGCACTATGTAAATACTAGTGGAGATTCTTCCGTAACTAATAAATGATTATTGAAATGTAGTCTTTCATTTCAGAATAGGTACTTAAGGAATTCATGACTTGCCCAACTTACAGGATAGAGAAAAAAAGAGTCATAGCACTGCTTAGTGCCCTCATGTATTTGCCAGAGAAGGTTGTGAAATCTGCAGGAGGAAGTCACTAGTAAAAATTTCCTTTTGGGAAGGTTGGTTATAAGCTGTGGCACAGGCCAAGGCATCTACAGAGACCATCCTGGTGTTAGAAGAGAAATCCTACAGATTTCTTCTCCTTTTTATGCTAATTACTCTGTGGCAGGCACTGTCCTAAGCCATTTCCCAGTATTAACTCATTGAATCTTCACTGCAGCCCTATGAGGAAATGCTAGTTTTCACTTTTTAAATGATGAAACCGTTATGGAGATGATGAGGAACTTGTCCAAGATCCCATGGCTGGTAAACGGCAGAACTGGGATTCAGACTCATTCCATGTTGAAGGCTGTCCTTTTACTCACTGTGCTTTGTTGTTCCTTAGCACAAAGTGCTCAGAGTTGGAAACCAAACTGTTTTCCTCATCTTTGTCAGGCGTCTTCTGGAATATGAAATGTGACAGGACTGAACTGCTTTTCTCAGAGATGAGATTTATTGAGTCTCACCTGATCACTTTCCCAAAAGTGGTCCCTTGTCACTATGTCACCTTGAAATGTATGGAATCCAAAGAGTAGACCCATGTGTTAGAAAATAGGATCACTAATTTTCCTAATGAAATGGATTTTTGCTGATCACAAAGAGAAAGGAGGGACGTCTCATCAGCTGTATCAGAATATTTACTTTTTTGGACCACCATTTATATCATTCCCAATTGTTCTTTTCCTAGCAGCGATCAGTTTTTCTTGAACTGACCAGAAGAGGGTGTGCATGGCACCTGAAAAGTCAAAGGCTACCCAGTAAAACTAATCATTGTTTAAAATGAGGAGAGAAGGAAGAGAAGTATCCTGAACAATGGGCCTTGCCATAAAGAGTGCTTAGTTCTAAGGCTACACTCAGAATTCCAGAATCCTACATTGCATTTTAGAAAGAGAACATGGTCAAGACATTTAGCTCATGGGATCAGCTGTTAGGTCTTTTGACATTTCTAAATTATCTTGGCAATTCAATTAATATTTTAGTTTCATGTGGGTTCTTTTGATGTTACATGTATGAAATAAGGCATGTGGCTAATTGGATAATAGTTACCAATGGCAGCCTCGTGGAATATAGGGCCAAAGCATGCTCTGCTAGATCTTTCACAGTGCAGGGTTTAGAAAGATGGGAGCTATTCCAGTTCTGGACCAAGTCTCAATCCCTGTATTTCTTCTCACTCCACTCCCCATTACACTGAGTAATTCATTGGCAACCCTATGGCAAACAGACCTTTACTCTTGCAGAAATGGGTTTACTCAACTGCCTGTATCCAGAGTTTCAGTCTGGAAGCAGGGTTAGAGCAAGGAGGATACTGCATTGCATGAAATGTGGGTCTCCTACCTGAGCATCGTGTTCTTTAGCTGAGTACTGAGGAACCAAAGACGGGGTGGAATTGTATGTTGCTGAGCTATGGGTTGGAACCTGGAATGGTATAGTTTTTCTTTTTTAGGAATGAGTGCTTCCTTTTCTTGGAGGTGTCAAAGCTTGGCCATGGTCTTGAATTACCCAGAGGGAACAGGTAATAACCACAGCCTTACAGTGGGACTCTGATTTCAGGGTGTTGATTGCACCCTTATTTACTTGGAGAACAGAGAAGTGAGGAAAAGTGGTACCTACTTAGACATGTACAGATTCCCTAGGTTATCTTTGCTTCTTGGTCTTCTCTGTTTACCTCGGTTGGAGCACTTGCGTTGCAAACGCTTAGCTTGAGAATAGGATAATGAATTGATATTTAAGCAATTTTGTTACCTGTGGTTAAAGATAAATGAGAGAAAAGTTTGAAAATTACTGGCTTCTCAATTACAGGAGAAATATCAGAGATCATCATCCCTGTCACTGTTCTTCCTTGCTCTCCCTTTCCTAGAACCAGTGTTGCAAGGCAAATGATGAGTTTCTGAAATGCACCTTCGTAGTGAAGCCTCGGGGGAGTCAGGGACTACCCTATCCAAAAGTATACCCTCTTCATCACTTTCTTTCTCAACCCCCTTTTTAAAAATTCCATTTACATTTACTACATTTCAACTGCCTATAGATTTTATTCACCTTGTCTCTCTCCCCTACTAAGCTCTGTGTCTTTGGATTATTTTCCTGCTTTATCCTCAGTGCCTAATACAATGCCTGGCACAAAACAGGCACTCAGTAAATCTCTGTTGAATGCATAAATAAAGGCTTAAGTAAGTAAATCAGCATTGGCAATGCAGTCATATTCTGAAGCATTTACCCTCCTACATACTGACTTCTGACTACTATGTTTTTTTTGTTTTTTTGTTTTTTTTGTTTTTTTTACTTTGGTTAGAGGAAAAACTAACCCGAATCCCAAATAGAAAAAGCCTCACCCTAGAATAATGGGCTCCTCGAGTTACTCTGTATTTAATGTCCCTATATTGCTTATAGCTGAAAACATGGTAAATTTAGTGACTACAATTTCCATATTATGGGAGGTGACAGGTATATAAGACATTTCTATGAGATTAACCAGGAAGGGAGCAAAAATGCACAAGCGACTTCCAGTGTATCTTTTAAGCCCTGTGATCAGTACATGAGAATGTGGCATATTACTCTTGATACTCTTGTATGTTTGAGATATGAGGATAACTAAAAGAAACAGGCCAACTAAAGTGAAGCCATTTTTTGTTCTGTAAATGAGTTTTAAACTTGGCACCAAATCTCACTTTGGTATCTTAACAAAGAAAATTAGTCATAGAAATGCAACCGGAAGTCACGCTTGAACCGTATCTTGATTGATGTAGTAGCAAAGAGTTATGATTTGTTAGATAGCCAGCAGCTACAGATTGTGTCTTCTTTCCATGAACTAGAAACTGTCTCCCCTCATCCTTCACCTGGCCTAACCCTCCCCCCAGTAATAAGAAATACGTCTCGCACCTGTGCCTCTCCCATCTGCTCTCTGGTTGGAGCAAGGTGCTTTAATCTTCATAGGAAGATTGAAGATTGTGTTGGCAACCCACTTATCTGGTTTCCTTAGCAACCAGAACACAGTGTTTAAAGTGATAGCATCCCTTGCTCAGAATAGAAATTGAGTAAGCCTGATCATGATACCCTGGTCTGCTTTACCTCTTCAAAGACTCTTCTTCATCTGGCTATTCATGGTAGCCAACCTTTAAAAGGATAACTACCTGGAACATAATCAGTAAAAAAGCTCTGGACCTATATATAGAGCCCGCTCGACCCTTGTCAGTTACGGTGACCCTTAACTCCAACCTGGAAATAGTGAGCAAACTGTCTCCTTTAATTCAAGAATTTTAGAACATTTTTTCATGTCCTTGTAACTTTTGCAGTAATTTAGGTATGCTGCCGCCAATTTCCATGAAATCTGAACAGGAATCAAGATGATGAAGTTGCCTAGGCATTTAAGAAAAGCACAAAGAAAGAAAGAAAAGATCTTTTAAAGGAAATTGCTATTACAGAACTATGCTGGGTATCTATTGTGTCTGCTTAGTATGTCTCTTCTTTAAGGAATGGCTCCACACGCCCCCTCTTCCACTATATGATCTCCCCAGCTATATAATCTCTTACTGCAACAGTAGCAGACATTTAACTGATGCTGAGACCTTTGATTGGTCTGGGAATCTTAAAATAGTTAACCTACACTAAGCCAATGGGTCTCTTCCTTGGGATTTTTGGATTTGGGAATGCCTGGATTTTAAGATTGGAATCTCCAACTCGCCTTTGGTGGCCATGAAAAAGCAAAGTCTGGGTCAAACGGTGTTGAACAAGTTTTCTTGCTGTTAGACATTTTAGAAACTCCAATATCCTAATGCATTTTGACTCTCCATAAGTAAGATTTATTTATCATGCAGCATTTCCCCCAAAGTGTTGTACCATGGAATACGGAGTTCTCCAAAACTTGGCCCCACAGTAGTACTTTCTCTGCAAAAAACGATGAACACCTTGGGGTCTAGTTTTTCATGTAACATGCATCAAAATCTGTTGCTTAGACTGTGAAGTTTCCATGAGGTTGGGAAACACAGGGTTGTCTGGACGGCTCTAACTTAGAGTTCTCGACCTGGGGTGATTTTCTCCCTAGGGAACATTTGGAAACACTTTTGTCCCAACTGGAGAGAGACATCCTGGCATCCAGTAGGTCAAGACCACAGATGCTGGTAAGCATCTTATGATGCACAAGGCAGTACGCCACAACAACCTCACAGCAAAGAATTATCTGTCCCAAAATGTCAGTAATGAAGAGATTGAGAAACTGTACTAACTCGATGTCAGGATGCTGGATTAGTCCTGTATGGGTTCAGGGCCCGAAATTAGTGGGCATGTACTCACACACTGCATTCAAATGCTCTTGACCTCTGTTTCTGGCACCTGTTTAGACATTTTCTAATGTTCCAGAGTAGACTTAGCCAGACTCATCCAGATCTTCTGGATAAAACAGGCCTTGCCCACTTCCTGGGGAAGAGGATAAGGAGAATTCACCCACAGCTTCTGATCACATGCCAGTGCCTCCTCCCACGTATCCCACTTATGTTCTCCTGTCACATGAGGGGGCGTGCAAGGAGCAAAAGGGCAGGGGGGCACCTCTGGCAAGGGCTGCTGAGTGGATGCTCCAAGGAAAGCATGAGTCAAGTGCTAACGGAAGGCCTGCAGAATGAGCTGGTCTGGTCCTGCCTGCACAGTTGACTCAGGCAAGACTGGCGAAGATGATGTTTTATGCATTTATACAACACTGAGAAGTAGGATCCAGCTGCCTGCCCTGGTGAACTATAACCCTGAGGCAGACACATTGAAGCCTCTGCCTGTTACTTCAGCCACTTCTCAGGGAACAGCTGCCCAGAACCACGTCCCTCGGGAGGATCACTGGACAGAGGCTTGGAAATGCCCAAGTAGCCCGTATGTTCCTTGGAGGAAGAATGAAGCACAAAGTCCCTACCTACAAAGGATTCCCTCTCTTCTTAAAGACATCATCACATCCTTGTTTGCCTAAGGAATGAGGGGTTCCCCAGATATGGGACTTAATTTTAAAAACCAACATCAGTCCCGGGTAACCTGGGGAGAGTTGGTCACCCTACAGTTCAAACACCTAGGGAGACTTATTAAGTCATGAAATGGGGACCTTGATTATATTTGAATTGAATTGATTGATCATTGCTGGTTATGTGTCCATGATTGTTAGGGGCTGTGGCAGAGACGGAAGAACTTTATGCAGTTCCAACTCATACATGGTTATGTGCTTGAGAATGTATAAACCATTTGCTTGGGACTCAGAACATTTTCCCAAAGGAACCATGTTAAGTGCTGCTGATACTTCCACACTAACCCCCACAGCCCTTAAATATAACTCCTATGGGAGTTGAAATGATAGAGACATCCCCACAACTCTGGGAAACAATGCTGTTGCAAATGGAGTGTTTCAGCTGCATGGGTGGGACACTGCTGTTGTGATCTCCCCTTGTTTCTAGGATAAAGTGTATATAACTTAGCACCATAGGTGTACAGTCACAATTTCCTGGCCTCACCTACTAACACATGCAAATGAACATACACGTGTGTGTTCATGAGAACACACACACACGTGCACGAGCATGGTCTGCTTCTTACCCATAGTCCTACCCCAGAGGGACAGTGTGAGGCTCAAGGTTTCCTTGAAGTCAAGCAAGTGGCACTTTCCCCTGCTGTGGTGTTCATGTGTCAGGATAGATAGACACCTTCCTGTGTATGGCCTCCAGATGCTGATGACAAGTATGAGGAAACACAGCAGATTCCTGTCTGTCAAATAGAGACCCCGGCCTGGCAGCATGTGGGGAAGGACAACGTGAGTTGAACCCAAGGCAGAGTTTCTAGAACATAGGATCTTTGGTACGGAGAGAATCAAAGAGATGATTCAGTTCAATCCTGTCTTTTACAGAGAGGAAAACAGACCCAGGAGATGAAGAGACCTGCCCAAGGTCACTTAGACTTTTTGGACTGAGACTTCCCAGTCCCCAGGCTCTTGCCTCTCCATCTTGTGCCTCAGAAGCTAGAAAATCTTCTGGAGTTCTCCCCCACCCCAGTTCTAAGTTTTGAAAACCAGATTCTGTACGGAAAGTTTTGTTTTCTGGCCAAGAAAGCTGCGCTCGCTGCATTGGAGCCATGGATTGCCAAACTCTGCTACCCCCTGACACCACAGATGCTGCGACTTCCCCTGCACCTGGAATCTTCCTCTAACCCAGCAGAAGACAGCAACAGGGCAGCATCACCAACCACCAGCAACTTCTACCGTCTTCTCCATATTTACCTCCACTGGCCAGAGAAGGGCTGCCTTGCTGCTGGCCATCTTCTCATCTCTGTAATTGTTCGTAAACAGCAATGAGACTACTCCCTGTTGGGTGTGTTACGGTGATAGAAGGCAAAATAACAAATGCTTTGCTGAGGTTTCATTTTGGTGCAGTAGGATTCATTCTGCTAAGCATTGAGACCTCTTTTCTAACTTGAAAATGCCAATTATCTCTGACAAGGCCATGCTGTTTTTTTATGAGGTCCTCAGGTTTTCAGAGTGAGTGGATATGCTCTGGGTATACAACTATGACACCCTAACGTACTGCACATGCAGGGTTGTATATAGCTTGCGAAATGCTTTTGTGTTGATCTCATTTGACCCTGTGGGGGAGGTAGAGCAGCATGCCTAGACCCATTTTATGGATGAAGAAATGTATCGGTGCTTTATGTATGTATGTAAATAATGTATATGTGTACATGTATAAATGCACGAGAGACGTTGTATTTACTTAAGTCTGTGTATTTTCCACGTCTGCATGTGGAGTTGTTTTCCGTAAGGATCAATAATGTTCATGTGGCTGAGGGGAGGGTAGTGTATCTTACGGTTAAGCACATGCTCCCGCAAATCAGGCAGAGAGAGGGCAGAGCTGGCACTGATCACATGCATGTTACATTAGCTTTCTGAGCTTCAGATTTCTCATCTGACAAATGAGCACAATAACTCCTACCATGTAAGGGATGTGGTACCTGTTACGTGTTTAGTACCTAACACAGGTGTGCGGTAAACAGTGGCTGCTGCTTCTGTGCCTGCTGTGCACCAGATGCTGTGCTAGGTAAAAGGGAAAGGAGGTGAGTGAAGCAAGGTGTTGGCCTTTAACCTGCTTATGAGTTAAACTAGGAGAAGGAGACCTAAGCAAACAAACTACAATACCTCAGAAAGGGCGGGAAGCAATTTATGTAGAGGCTAAGAACACTGGGATTCAGATGTTCTGGGCTTCCAGTCCTATCCTGAAAGAATTACTTACCTTCCCTTGAGCTTCCTCACGTATAAAATAGGAATACAGCATTGTGAGGATTCAGTGAGCTAATGTGCAGTACTTACAACAGTGCCTGGCACATGACGGACACTCAGTAAAGAGTGGTTTTAGTGATTGTGATACTGAATTCTGTGCCTGAACAAACGTGAAGCAGGAATGTGGAGCAGGCGCCAAGGCAGCTTGGGGAGGGGTGAGCATTCCAAGGACACGAGGACCATGACGGCACCCCTCCGTTGGGCTTACTGCATGCGGGGCCACTTGTTGGCATCTCACTTGTCACATAAAGCTCACGGCTTCCCTGTAAGGATGTATCACTCCCTGTTCATGGGAAGAAACCAAGCCATAGAGAATGTCTCCCAAGGTGGAGGCTTTGGCAACTTCCTCTCATTCTCCTTTTACCATCTGGCTCTGCAGAGAGCCACTAGGACCCGGACACCAGGGACCCTGGGCATCATTCACTCCCTGCTCTTCAGCCTGCCCTGAGTCCTGCTGTGTCTGAGCCACTGGGCTAGGTCTGGGCAACAGCAGCGAGATGGCAGCCTTGGCCCCCTGGGGAGCATCCATTGTTATGGGGAGACAGACCACCAAGCTTAGTGCATGCCCCCCTGATTCACTGACAGTTGTTTAAAAAAATGTTTTTAATGTTTATTTTTTAGTCTAAAGAGAGACACAGAGAGACTGA